TTATTTTCGTTGTGGATCGGTAATATGTGACTTTGTTTTTATTATTGTTTCATTAAAATAAGTAAAGTAAAAAAAAAAGAAAAAAGTTTTTTGGTTTAAATCCTTAATGTTTTACATATAGTACATGTATGTTTTTTCCATCTTTTTGGTGTGGACATTAGTATTTTTAGGTTTAAGTTATTACATTATTGGTTTTTTTCAATTTCGTAACTTTCAGCTCGGGAAACAGACGTATTTGGTTTGTTAGCGAAAAATAGACGAGAATAATTGGGAACGCGAGATATTGAAGTTTGAACTCTGATAACTTGCTTATCTGCGGTATTATTAACAACCTCTTTAGATACAATGTTGGATAAGTTTTGGCAGGTGTAGGAGCTGGACGCAGCCCCAATCGATTTCACCAGTGATGGAAAATGCGATAAAATTTTCCGTGAACAATGCGTACGGCTCCCGTAAGGTCGTTTTTCTGTACCGTTGCTATTTCGTTCGTTGTCTCCAGACAAGCTTACTTTTCCGGGATCTCGTCACTTGGCCCTTAAGCGATTTGAAAATTTAGAGAAATGGTTACAAATGGATTCGAAATTACGTGCACTTTATTGTGAATTTATGGCAGATTATATTAAACTCGGTCATATGTCCGTAGCCTCTTCCCCGGGGTTGTATTTTATACCACACCATGCTGTGTACAAGCCGGAAATCGACCCTCATAAAATTCGCGTCTTATTTGACAGTTCGGCTGTACCGTGGGGCGAAAGCTCATTGAACAACTGCCTATATGCTGGCCTGAAGTTGCAACAAGTTGTTGACGTACTTTGCCGTTTGGAAAAATTCTTTGTAAAAATTACAATAGTAAATTATTAAATATTAATTTCATACTACGTTGAATTGCTTTAATAGATCATATATTGAAGTAAAACTTGCAAGTGGGCTCTTTATTAATAATTCGGCCTATATCAACAATGTGGTTTGCCACTTGCATAACGACTAGCTATTGTAGCAAGGGTCTCCACCACCTAGGCGAGGTGTCACACCTATCAGATATGATTACCGGACCATAGGTGGAATTTAATTTTAAGTTAATTAAAAGTATAATCTACGTTAATATGTCGTTATATGTATAAAATCCTATAATACCTCGTGGTTTATTAAACACAATTATGACAATCAAAGTTGTATGTGGTTGATATGTAAAATATACCGTAGCCCGTGTCTAGATTAAGGAATAGGGATAAAATACACGCGAGTAATTAAGTTACTCGCGCAATAAAATAAATATTACAATTGAAATTAATAAGGAAATTTAATGTCGTTTTCGCGGCAAACTCTCTAATAACTTTTATTTTCATTATTTCAGTACACTTTAAATTATAATGTAATAACATATTATTAGCTAATATACGTGAAACTAACTGTCATTGACTACTAACCGTAAGATTAGCACAATCAATTTACAACTTTTCGACTTTGACTAATTGTTTTTTTCCGCTTACCTAAACCTGATTCTGAATTTTATTTTCCGTACAGTTGAATTAGTTGACTAGGTATCATAAATATTATTTCAATACACGAATATTTTTATTTTGTATGATAACTATGAAATAGTTCCGTTGTCACAATTTTTATTTTTTATTTATGTTATTAGGCATTGGCTAGTTAAAAGTAAGATAGCAAATTATAAATTTATAGAATTTTTAGCAAAGTTTTTCATTTTATAAATTAGATTAATTTAAATAAATTTTGACTGTAAAATAAATTAAAACTAAAAAAAATTTATATATTTGATATGTAGTCTGATTTTATTACTTAATACCAACATATAAATTTACCCTATTAAATGCAAATCAATGCCACAAATTTTGCAGTGGTAACGAACTTCGAGACCAGTGGGTCTATTTTTGAATTTTATATTGGTGTACTAATCTGTTTAGTATACTAAAACATGACGTTTTAGTGCAACTATTAGTGTGAAACTAAAAAACCGTATTTTTGAATGTTGGTATGCTAAAAATTTTTTATTAGTGTACTAAAGTTTTAGATGATCTTTTTAGAGTGGTATCTACCACACTAATTATGATTTTAGTATACTGATGTTACTGTTATCATTCACATTTATACGAAAACTTATATATTTATAACGTTTTCAAATTTATTTAATATTAAATATTAAAATGGAACACTTTTTTAATATAAATTATGTGCAAGTTATTAGTAATTTAGAAATAGTTGAAGATAATGGCCATTCAACAATGAAATTTCGTTTAGCGGAGGATCCGTTCATTGGTATGTACAAAACAAATTACAATATGTAAAATTATCTATTTACATTAATAAAATGTTATTTTCTATAGTTTTGTCCGAAAGGGCATTTATACAAAAATTTAGACTGACAAAAGTTCTTGCATTAAATTTAATTAATGAGCTACGCCTTTATTTAGAACCCCCATCGAGGAAGTCTGCTTTAAGTATAGAGCGCAAAGTATGCAAAATATTGTACAATATTGACTAAACAATAAGTAAAATTTAATAAAATTTTTGTCACGATAGGTACTAACAGCTTTACGATTTTTCGCTAGTGTCTTCTTTGGGTCAACAGTTTCATTTAAAATCTTGGTAATATTTTGCCATAATAATTGGGCATCTTTCATGGTAAAAGATGGTCCAAATTTTTTAGAATTTAATTTTAGATGCTTATGAACAAATTCAATTAATAATTGTTTTTGTTCATAAGTCACACTTATTGACTTTGTTTCCCCTCCATTGTAAAACATTACACAAATTGAATAAAAAAATACTGACAAAAAACTCGTGACAAATTTATTATGGGTAAATTTTGTAGTTATCATAAATATTATCAAGTATTAACTATAAAATTAATATAAAATACAGTACAGCCAATATAATTTAACATATCGCACTAATAATTATTGGTTTGAAATGACATTAAATTAGACGATGTACGATTAGTGCAAGATTTTTAGACTGATAAAAAATAAAATTCAAAAATACGAATTTCCATTAGTGCACTAAAATCATAATCTAATGTTTTAGTGTACTAAAACATTCGCCAATGATTAGTCCAAGCTCAAAAATAGACCCCCAGACTAAGTGCGTAGGAAGCTACTATAATTAAATACCATCAGTATAGTACAATATCAATTAAAATAAATACCACAAATAATTACCTTAGAAAACAACAATTTAAGAACGCATGAAAATACAAGAATACAAGAAGTTTCGTTGTTCCTTCTTTTAATTATAATGATAACCGTAACTTAGAAGTTTAAAAAGCAATTTTAGACAAACTTTATCTTTATAATGAATTTACTATTCAATTGTGCTTTTTTAGCTTTGAACTTTTTTTTTGATGTTCACGCATTAGTTACATTAGGATATTATTTTTCATTTGCGCATAGAACTATACATTGTATATTTTCTCAAGGCATGTGACATGTTATATATAAATTTCAGGAAAATTTTAAGTATATAGGTTTGTACATTCATTAACAGAACTGTACAGTATTAATAATCTTATTTATCTCATGTATGATGTATAAGTCTATGAGTTTATCGTGATGTTTGGGATCTATTTATAACAACTATGTTGCCCAACGTCAGATCACAGTGACCAATATTTTTATCAAAATTAATTTTTTTACATAGTTATACATAGGTATAATAACTTACCGATTTTTTTTATAATTACTATATAATATAATAACAATTATTGTAATTAGAATATTAATAATTATTGTGTATACAATGGGGCGTAGTTAAAGGTGAGGGGATATAAGTGATTGGCCATCCTTGAACTAGCGCTATCAATGTTTTTTTAGGCAGTTTCTAAGAAGTAAAGAACTGATAACCTATTCTTTGATCATCACTTTTATTTTTAGCAAAAAAATGTTTACAGCATGTTTAACGAAGTAAAAATAATTAAATATCTCTCTTAAAATAATTTCTGAATACGCTCAAGGGAAATACTTCATTAACATACGTCAACCTTATACCCAATACATTTCACTATTTTCTCTTTTTTAATTTTCCTGATTTTAATAGTTAAATTTTTAATATATTTTTGTTACACTGATTCTGATGTGATATTTTCTTACAGAACACTTACTGTGCCCAACGTAACCCGGTACTCCTACCGGAATCAGTGGCTTTCTTATGATGACAGCCCGAAGAGGTTTGCGCTCCTTCTGGGCTTAAGGCTCGTAGGGCCCTGTATCTGAGGTGGAGCACCAGTTAGGCGAAGCCTAGTGTAGTAATATACTAATATTTTATGGGCAATGCTGTTGGTCGTTTAAATCCTTTACATAAGATCACAGCTGAACCCAACGCACACATTTGCAGCGCCTTGACCATAATATACGTCAAAGAATATTTAAGTTATATAATATTAAGTTATATAATAACTTGTCGGTCGTCCAAACACTGTTCGTGTGTGTGTATTCGTACCGGTTTTTACAAAGGGAAACAATTTCAATGCCCGCAAAAGACAAATATATTATAATTATATTACTATATAAAGTTTGCATTTTTAATAAAAACATTTTTTAAAAATGTACAATTAAGAATGTACAATTAATTTTAGTGGTGAGTGCGATCGTCCCGCCGTTCAATCCACAAGCTAACACTGACCTACTGTACTTGGTTCAGGTCAGACGTATTGTACATCTCATGTATCTTATTATATTTACTGAGCATTTAAAATATAACTTTACGTAGGCGTAGATAAAAGACTATAGTTTAACTTTGTTATATAATCTCTCACTAGTTACTAAGGTACACGATTATCTGTCTGTGCTTCAGTTAAATAAACCTCATTTAAGGGAATGGGGACTATATTTGGACAAACGTCGGGTAGCTACCAATTCTTGGTTTCGACTAAAATCCCCAAGTATTAAATGAACCCCTAACATTATGTAACACATACAATTTTTACAATAAATAATTAACATTAAGAAAAATTACAACATATAATTAATACATAAATTCTTTATTTCAATTGTGGACTAACGAGCAGGTTAAACAATATAGTTTATAAACTTAAAATATAACAACAATTTTTGATTAACACATTTTAACTTAATGATTTCTTGATGATAATTAATGATTTGAAAAGTTTTTTTTTATTGTTAGTTGTATATTATATTTTTCGGAGTGTTATAAAAGTAATCTTAAAAAGGTAAATATGAAAATTTCTTTAGTCCAATCTAAAAAAAATTATCCAAGTTAGAAAAACAGTTTAATTAATAAAATAGCTAAAGTTTATTCCACTGTACCATTCAAAAAATCCTTGTATTTATATTCTACAACATTAGCAATTTCGTTATCCGTAATAGCTTTTATTGCAGAACGCAGCTCATCTGAATTTAAAAATCCGTCAGAATTATTATCAGACTTTACAAATATTTCTGTACACCGTTGTACTTGACCTACAGTAAGTCTTTTTTCCTAAAATGAAACAATTATTTAGATAAAAAAAAAATCAAGATTATTTTTATTTTTATTAAATTAAGAATTTTTATTTTTATTTCTTCTATGTTTTAATGGATAATATGATGTCCCTTAGATGGTGGTGACAAAATAAAAATAAAAACAGGGTCGCCGATCTACTGAGCAAGGACACAGATAGATTTTATAAGTAATAGAAAATTACACGTGGAAGATAATTTAATATTTTTTAGTATTAATGTAAAAAAAACCAGCACAGTGAGGACATGACATTTTTGTATCAAGTATAGATGATATTTGACATTGATTAAAATCACCATAAAAACGCTTCGATGGCAAAATCTTTAGATAGTGTTTTAAAAAATTGGTAGATTATTCCAAAAGCTACATGATCTGCTATTTCCTTATAAATAACCTGATTAATATGTTTAATTTGTAGAAATAGTTATTGAATTATTTCAAAAGCAACAGGATCACCTATTTCATTATCTATATCCAAATAACAAAACTTATGATTTATACATATGAACATTAATATATTTATTATTGTAATTAAATTTAATATGAAATTGATATTTGATAATCTAGTATTATAATATTTACGAATAAATTTATGATTCTTTTAATATTATTCACTCGATTTCCCTTAAAATAACAATTATATTAAGAAGATTCTTTAAGATATTTTTCAATTTTATATAATTCTTAATTCTTATTAATTATTAAGTGGCATATTTTGTGAACTATACATATAAGTATGGATTTATCAAAAAAAAAAAATTTAACTTTTGTTATTTAATTATAATTTCAATTATGAAATTAAAATTGTAATTTATCTTAAACAATTTGTAATTGGAACATATTTCTTGGAAAATGCAGTCCTTTCCTTTTAATATACTTAATAAACTGACATTAAAAGCTGCAAAAATAATTACAATAATTATTTTAATAACTTTATAAAAAAAATTACAACAACCCAATAAATAATGACTTTTTATACCAAAAAATATTTTTTTTATTAATTTCTTGTGTCGTTTAATATAGATGTTAAGTCGTCAATACGTTTATATCAAAAAGTTTACTTACTCTAGGATCTAGATTTGAATGCATTACACAGATATTAACAAGAGCAGCAATTTGTTTAACTCTACTATCTAATAAATAACAACATACATTTTTATACTCAAATCACAAGTAGAAGACAAGTAATTACAATTGTTATTACAGAAGAGAATTTTTTAAAGGCTAACTAAAGTGATTTCTTCGCTCTGACTTAAAAGGGTTCGAGTAAATAAAATCTACTAATGAAAATATAAGTTTATTTTAAAAATTTGAGTAATGGAATAGTTACTAAAAGTAAACCAAAATCGTTTTGTTTTTAGAAAAAAAGTCTATTCATATCTGAATATATGTTATTATATTATAATATTTATTTTATTAATAAATATTACAATTTAAATTAAACTAAATAAACTATGGTTTAATTGTTAATTTTAATATAAAGAGAATAAATAGATATAAAATTAGTTAATTTTTAAATGTAAGTGGAATAGAATAAATGTTTTGTGGTGATGATAATATTGTGATGTATAATACGAATTAATCACTATTAATTAATATTAAATAATATATCTGAAATATAATATTAAAACTAAAAAATATTTAACTCGAAAACGCTAAAAGTTATTACATAATCTCGTATGCATATTTGGGAACAATGTGACTATCAGCACTAAACACAAATAATGTCTGTTGATATTGACAATATATTTCTTTTTTATTGTGTTTATTATATTGTTTAGCTCTTCATAAATTTTTATAATTTTTTTTTATTTTAATCACGAGAGTACGTAATTAGTGTTAGTCATATAATAAAAATTGATCACTTGNATAATTGGATTATGACAAGCGTAATTGTCTATCTAGTCGTTTGCGTTTTAAGATGGAGAATAAGTCCATATCGTGTGACTCTTCAACGTTGATTTGTTTATACTTAATTAGTTTCATTAATACGGTGGCTTTTTAAATTGAGAGTGAGCAACAACAGTGTGAAAAGAAATTGTTGTGCAAAATTCTCATACGATTTAGGTCAATATTACATATCAAAAACCGTTTCATTAAACACTATTATTATCTTACTTATCGGACGAACCGATTCGCACCCGCGCACCGTCGCCATCAACACTGCTAATCTTTTGACGCCCACGCCGGACATCGCGTTGTCAACGCCAGCGAAAGTGCCGCGATATTATGCGAAGATTATAATTATTGTGTTCATCTTTGTATTATTTTTGTTAAAATAACCTGTTGTTGCTCATTAATAAACGGCCCACGGGTCTCTACCCTCAAAACCATTGTCGACTACATTTTTGCGACGTAAGTCGTGTCACTTTTTAATGTTTAATGTTAGAAAAATATTATATTTGAATACTACATTGTCATACCTTGCTTAACAATATGTTCTAATTCATCCTTGGACAACGAATAATTAAATAACTTAAATTGAGATAAAGTATCAATAAAATTGTATTTATCATATTGTCGAACTATGGCATCTAAAATATTTTCGGTTAGACCTTGAATCTACATAAAATCAAATAAACATAATAAATTTATTAAAAACAAATAAGCAAAAAAATTTAAATTATAATTGCCTCACATGTATACAGGGTGATTGAAATCTGGTAAGACACTCATTTTATTAGAAAATATTGAAAATTTTAAATTTTATTATAGAGAAAAAATATCAAGTTCAAAAAACTCTACCAAATATGTAGTCAAAACGTTATTTTTTTCGTTTTTTCAAGGATAAAAATTCTTATTTATAATTTTCTTAAATGGGAACCCTTATTTTTAACTTTATAATATGATAAAAAAAAAAAATTACAAACAATTTTGTTCTTATAATTTTTTTTATCCGATAAACCGTTCTTCCGTTACAGCTTGTTAAAGTTAAGTGATTTTAGGCCAAATTTCTATTGTCATTTTACTGTATTAAATACAGAAATCATTATTTTTATTCGCTCAAAATCTTTGAACAATTATATAACGTAAACAGTTATTCGGATAAAAAAAATTATAAGAATAAAATTGTTTGTAATTTTTTTTTCTATGTAATAAACCAAAAATAAAAAGAAAGAATAGAAAAAGAGTGATTAAAGTTAAAGTAGAGAAAGCATAGGTTAAATTATTATATTATTATTGTTATTAATTTTATAAGTTTTTTTTGTAGATTTAATGTCTTCAAATTTATTTAAATTTATTTTTTTATTAATTATTTCTCTCATTAATTATTAATGGTTTATCACGCAATAGATTATTGGAGGTTCGAAAGCATAGGTTAAATTGTACTTAACTTACGTCCTATGTAATACAATAATATTTATAGTAATCCAGTGTTGATTTCCGCGTTAAACGTACTACGGTATACGATTTACACTATACGTCATATAGTCTATATAATTACTTACAAAAAACGATTCAAAACTTTAAATAATTTGATTTAATTAGACAAAGTCTACAACTGGTCTTACTTATGAATGATTCTAAACACTCTGTATTTTATTATAAATACAATTTTAATTTTTTTACTTATTGATTTTTTTTACGTCTGTTGAATAAGTATTTTTTAGAGAGTATATTTTATTGAGAGATCGACACCAATATTTCTTAAATTTTCCTCTGGCCTGGCCAAAACAAAATTCAGAAATATCTATTTCTATGTAAAAAATTTATCAAGGCGGAATTATGGTGGTCCAATGTGTCCCGGTGGTAAAATAAAGCACCTTGAAAGGATGCGGCACAATAATAACCAAGACAAAAATTAAACACTACAAATATATTCGTAAGTTTCTCTACGTTGTCTGCCGGCCCGATGTTTGTTAAAACAAAGACATTAGCAACGAGACTAGCAACCCAATAAGAAAAGCTCACAATTAATTTTTATTATTAAATAAAAATCTAAATTTAAGTTGGATTTATTATTAAAATAAAATAATTTAAAAAAGATGTAATGTTTAAAATATTATTTGATGTTTATTTCCACAACAAGAAAAATAAAATATTATTAATGATTGAACAAATTATTAAATTAAAAGATTCACCAAAACAAAATTCACTTTATAATTTCTAAGTGTCATTTAGTTTTAAAGAAAAATATTCTAAGTCCAAATTAATTCAAAAATCGACGAAGTGTTTTTAAATTAAATAATATTATAAGTCCAAATTAATTAAAAAATCGACTAAGTGTTTTTAAATTAAATTTTTATAGTCTGAAGGGGGTAGCCCAGCGATCTCTACCGTGATCCTCGAAGCTGAGGCTTTGAATTCTAATTGGTTAATTAATATGGGGTCCCTGCGTGTAGGCGTTACTTAATAATTTCTACAAGAGGGAGATTTTATCGCATAATTAAAGGGTTATTTTGTATTATAAATTTTGTATTAAATTAAATAGTAAAATTATTTTTTTAATTAGTTATAGAAATAATAGAAATAGCTATTCTATTTTTATTCAACTTGAAAGTTTAGAATTTATATCATAAAAAAGAAAATTTTATGAGAAATAAAAAGTTGTATTTTTTTAAATTGATGTAGTAACTACTATAATATATATAATCACTATTAACTTATAACTGCTATAAGGAAAACTCAAAATTTACTTAAAATCATTATTTTTTTGTATTTTTATTGTTATAAATCATTTAAATAAGAATCCAAGTAATAATTTCCATGTAACTCTTGGTATTTTAATAAATATAAAATAAGCTACTTAAGCTACTTAAGCTACTAATAATTAAAGTAAGAGAGTAAATTAATAATATTAATTATAAATACTTGATTACTGGCACTTGACGTTCCAGCTGAAAACGCAGGTTTGATAATTACACACACAAAATAAAGTACTATTCCAAAATAAAAATAGAAACCCATTTTCAATGTTTATGATAATTGCAGCAGAAATGAAAGTCTAAGACTGACAATGTCATTTTTATAATATAAGCTAAACGGGAAAAGTAATTTCTATTAGTAAATTTATTTTGTTTATACAGGTTGAATTTTTTTTTATCATAATTCACTCAATTACTTACAGAATAAAAATAATTTAAATATTTTATTTTTTATTTTGGTTATCTTTAGTTACACATTATTCTTGAATTATTAATATTTAATTTATTTTTAATATTTATTTAATAAACGCCCTGTGGGCATAGAGTACAGAGATAATTAGTTAAAATACATGAATAAAGTAATTTTGCATACATAATAAAGATGAATAATAATAAAAAAAAAATTTTAAAAAATACAACAATAAGTATTTAAGATAATAATGAAACTATAACTAAAGATTGTAACTATTTTTCATGCAATTTTTTAAGTCTGAAAGTGCATTAAAAAAAAAATCAAAATTATTAAGTTTATTACCTAGAGTTAACATTCGGTTTGCCGGTGCAAATAGACAATAATTACGTTTGCAAGTAGGAGTGTAGAATGTAGATGTGGATCTTAACGTGATATTTGGAACATTTATATTAATTAAAGCAAGTATATCTGGACAATCAATTTTGAAGTTTAGTAAGTTATAGAGCCAATGTATGTCCTTAAATTGTCTCCTAAATTCCAAACTATCTATTTCATATTTTAAAGATAATGATTGCAATGTTAATTCAACATTATTTGTTTTATATGCCAGCATACGTAAAAATCGATTTTGGATTCGCTCTAAATTATTAATGAGATACTCTTGATGAGGGTTCCAGATTATCGAACCATATTCTAAAATCGATCGTACTAGAGAGAAGTATAAAACACGTAGGCAAATTGGGTCATGAAAATCCCAGCAATTCCGTTTTAAAAAACCAAATACACGTAAGGCTTTATTATGAATTTCATTTATATGTTTGGTAAATGTAAGGTCATTAGAAAAAATGATAGAGGTTGTTATTAAAGAACTTAGACGACACTAGGTTTCTAAATGGCGTGAGCCGTAGTTTATTGTATAGGTTACAACAAAAGAAGAAAACCAAAAGAAAACTAATTATTGAAAATGATAAAACTAGATAGTAAGGTTCACAGTAATAAGCTGATTTAAAAGTAAACACTAAAAAAAAATATGTGTATTCGTAGTGACAGTATTAAGAGCACACAAACAAACGAGGACCGAGAGAAAAGAATCGCACATAAAGGTGTCACGGAGATAACTAACTGGACGTATTATTGCGGCGGGGTATGCGACGCTAGGCATTTGTTGGACTTTACACCACGGCGATAACGCGTGTGTGTGACGGTCCGGTTTACAGTTAAGCGGTGGCTGAGAAGGAGCTGACACGACCGCGGGGTGTCAACGTGTGACAACGCCGTGGCCGTGTCAAATACCCCCCCACCAAGCCGCCGCTGTACTCTAGAAATCAAATGAAATAGCGCGTATAGCGTTCCGTGTTTGGTCGAATATATTAGAGTGCGCATAGCGCAATAACAAGCCGCAATACTTACGTTGTATGATTGATGGAGTGGGTGGTAGTGCCCCGCGGAGTGCGCGCAGCAGGGAGGGGGTTAGGGGTCTAGACCCCGCGCGTAACGCGCTTGGGGTGGGAGGGAGCTCTTACTCGGCCGGGGGCTCCGGCTGTGCTGGGGAAGTGGGGCAGGAGAGGAACAGGTCCATCTCCCGAACCAGGCCGTCGTCCTCCAGCTCCATAGGCGTCTCCGGCTGCTCCTCCTGTGCTGGTGTTGACGCCGCCAGCACCCCGTCCACAAACACGCCCGACGGCCGGCTGACAATGGCCGTTGTCACTGCTGGGGCTGCTGGGGCTGCTGCTGATGTTGTCGGTGTTGTTGCTGTTGTCGGTGGTGCTGTTGTTGTTGTCGGTGTTGTTGATGTCGGGTTTATGGGCGGTGTAAGGTCCCCACCGACGACGACCCCCCAACGTCGAAGCATATACTCCTTGTACTTCTTCGTCCGGCGTTCCCGCTCGGACGGAGAGTAGTACCGAGGAGTTTTGCTAGTCGTAGGGGTAGGCGTCGCTGCGGACCCTCCACTGCCCCTGGCGTATGGATGCTTCGGGCGACGTGACGTGGGTGGGGCGCTGTCTGGCCGCGTGGCGCGGAAAGACAGTAGAGGCCGAGGGGAGGGGACCACCCGCGTATTGCTTGTGGACGCCTCCCCTGGGCGGGAGAAGTGTTGGGACGCCACATTTATTACCCGACGAGGTTTGGGAGAAGGGGGAGCTTGGACTCCCGGAGCGGACGGGGAGGCGCGGGGGAGTGAGTTTAGCGCGATTTGTATTTCGCGCCTCACCTCCTCGCGACCCGCCCGCACGCCCCGTTCGTAGTGAGCTCGAGCCACCGGGTTCCTTAATACCTCGGGTAGGGGGGCGCGCGAAGCATCCTCCGCCGAGCGCAGTACGCGCGGGATGGGATCCGTCGGGAGGCCCACCCGGCCCGCCAATTGGCCAACCAACCGTTGGACCTCCTCGACGGATAAGGGGTTGGCTGGGTTGTTGTTGTTGTTGTTGTTGTTGTTGCTCATGCTGAAAAATAAAAAAAAAAAAAAAACTACTAACTTTGCTTTTTCATACATGAGACATGAATTTTCCTTGGTGGGGACTGGTCCGTTAAGAACACGCCTTTACCGAGGCGTTCGGTTAATCTCACGGGGCCCCACCACTTCGGTGCAAAACCCGCACAAAATTGTCTATTCGCGTTCGATAAGTGATGCGCTTTATAGTACACAACGTCGCCGACCGCGTATTTTGTTTTGATATGAACGGGCGGCGGTGTTATTTTTGTGCTAGTGATTTGTCGTTCGCGCTCTAACCGGTCGTTATTGATAGTAGCAGGTGCTACCGGTTGTACTCGCTGCAGTAGCCAATCACCCGGTTTCTTACCTTCTCTACCTAATACGAGTACGGACGGTGCGTATCCGGTAGTCTCGTTGCGCCTATTGCGTAGAGCGAACAACAAAGGTGGCAATTTTGTATCCCAAGATGTATGACTCGACTCTGTTAATAAAGCGCGAAGTCCTTTTTTTAACTCTTGGTTCTTTCGTTCTACTGGGTTAGCCCGTGGGTGGTATATCGGTGTAGTCCAGGCCTCTGCCCCCCACCGATTTATCGCGTCGATCATTTCTTTGGACACGAGCGCACGGCCGTTGTCGCTTAAAATTACTCGCGCGTAACCGTAGCGTGAGAAGAACTCCCTTTCTAGCGCGTCTACAATCGTTTTCGTTGTAGGTGCGCCTATGGGGTACGCTTCGGTCCACCTGCTGAAGCAGTCAGTTACTACTAATAGGTTCGTCTTGCCCCTTGGTGTTCTAGGGTACGGTCCCATCAGGTCGATACTGATTACTTCCCACGGCTGTCTGGGTTGGCGCTTGACCATCGGGTCTTCGGGGCGCCTGTTTAAGGGCTTAGTGCACGCGCAAATGTGACACGATTTTACGTACATGCGCACGGCGTTTCTTAACCCTTTACAGTAGAACCGTTGTTTGACCGCTCGGTGCGTTTCTCTCCATCCGGGGTGACATGATAGGGGGTCGTCGTGGTACCGCCAAATTATATGTTGTACTTTGTCGGTGGGGACGACTACCGGTGTGTCAGCGCCTATACGAATACGTAAGATTCCGTCCAACAAAAAAAATTCGTCCTTATTTTCCGCGGCCGGTTTTTCGTTCGCTATCGTAAGTTGCGCGTTTAAATTTTTTATGACCGAAGAGAGAAACTGGTCGTTGTTTTGCCACTCTCGTACTTCCCCCCCCGTGAACGGTCGGTCGCAGATCGCGTCGTTTGCCTCGGTAATGGAATAGATATTATCGAGAGTGGCGGTGGTTGTGGGCGGACTAGACATTGGCGCGCCTAACAAATTGTCGTCTAGGGCGTCTTCGTCAACAGGGGGTCCGTCCGTTGGGTGACGTGACAACATGTCGGGTGCTTCGTTGTGTTTACCCGGTACGTGTGTCGTGGTGAAATTTAGGTTACCCAGGTGTAGCGCCCAGCGGGTCAACTTACTGTTTGTTCCCTTCGCTTTGTGCAGATAAGTTAGCGCTGAATTATCTGTATATAAGTATCCTCGGTAGTATAGTGGTAAGTATCCCCGCCTGTCACGCGGGAGACCGGGGTTCGATTCCCCGCCGGGGAGCCACTTGATAGAGGTTGTTATTAAAGAACTTAGACGACACTAGGTTTCTAAATGGCGTGAGCCGTAGTTTATTGTATAGGTTACAACAAAAGAAGAAAACCAAAAGAAAACTAATTATTGAAAATGATAAAACTAGATAGTAAGGTTCACAGTAATAAGCTGATTTAAAAGTAAACACTAAAAAAAAATATGTGTATTCGTAGTGAAAGTATTAAGAGCACACAAACAAACGAGGACCGAGAGAAAAGAATCGCACATAAAGGTGTCACGGAGATAACTAACTGGACGTATTATTGCGGCGGGGTATGCGACGCTAGGCATTTGTTGGACTTTACACCACGGCGATAACGCGTGTGTGTGACGGTCCGGTTTACAGTTAAGCGGTGGCTGAGAAGGAGCTGACACGACCGCGGGGTGTCAACGTGTGACAACGCCGTGGCCGTGTCAAATATTATACCCAAGTCTTTTAAATTAGATACAATATTGAGGTTTTCATTATCTATGTGATAATTAAATAACAAATTTTGCTTATTCCTAGAGAATGTAATTTAACTAAATTTATCCGTGTTTAAGTTTAAACCATTATTTGCACACCATAAACATAATTGATTTAGGTCATATTGTAATTTATTACAATCATCTATTGAGGAAATCGACATATAAAGCTTTAAATCATCTGCAAATAAAGTGAATTTACAATGTCGAAATACAGTGTTTGTATCGTTGATAAAAATTATAAATAATAAAGGTGAGAGATGACCACCTTGCGGCACTCCAGAGGTTACATTTATGTTTGGAGAAATCGAATTACCTATTTTTACTTTTTGGATTCGATCAGATACGTAAGATTTAAACCATGAAAGGATTTGATCCCTAACACCAATAATAATAAGTTTATCTATTAATATATTAATGTTAATTGTATCAAACGCCTTTTTAATATCTGTATAGATTGCATCAACTTGAACACCATTACTAACGGAATGCAGTAAGTCAGTATAAAAAGTCATCAAGTTGGTTAGAGTTGACTTTGTCTTACGGAAGCCATGTTGATTATCTGATAAGATAGTTTTAAAAATATTAGACATTTTTGGTTCTATAAGTTTTTCCAATAATTTTGGTAATACGCTTAAACAGGATATAGGACGGTAGTTATTTACGAGAGATCGGTTTCCGTATTTGAAAATCGGATAAATAAAACTAGTTTTCCAAAGATTTGGAAAAACACCTGTAGATAATGATAAATTGAATGAAAAATGAATTGGACGGGTTAAGGTATAAGAACAATTACGGTAAATTATTTCGGGTATTTTATCTGGACCTATTTTTGTTTTAAATGATAAGTTATTTAAGGCGTTGAAAATTTCGGAGATAGAAAGTAAACAAGAGGAGAAATCGATAATTTCATTATTAGGAGATAAGTTATGTAAAGTATATGAAGAAGATGCTTGAGTAGGAGTGTATATTGAGCCGAAGTAGTCCTTAAAGATATTTGCAATATTATCGGGGTTATCTGCAATGACATCATTAAAAGAGATCGTAGTAGGGAGATCTTTGCTTTTTTTCTTATCATTGATAAACTTCCAAAAATATTTCGGGTTATTAGTTAATGAAGCTTGAATACGTTTTAAATAATCAGAATAACATTTTTTAGAAAGTTCTTTACAGCGGTTCCTGATAAGTGAAAATTCGGCATAAAACTTTTTATCTCCTGTAGCCTTAAACAATTTATGTATTTTTTTCTTTTTAATAATTAAAAAACGTAGCTCTTTTGAAAACCATAATGGAAATTTTATTTGGTTGGTGTAAACTTTTTTGGTTAAACTATCTATTATATTAAGTAAATCTTTATAAAATTTTTCAACTGCTAAATTTATGTCTTTTATTGAGTATAAATCAGACCAATTTATATTTGCAATCATATTGTTCATTATTGTATAATCGACGTTTTTGTAGTTATAAAACCATGACTTGGTTTCATCAAGTGATTTAGTATTTTTTATATTACTTTTTATTATAAATGGTTGGTGATATCTATCTACCGGTACTATGCTGTCGTCTAAGGGGAGAGTATTAATTGTGTTATCATTAGAGAAAACCAGATCAAGTTGAGAACCATATTCATTTACTATACTATTCATTCATTTGAAACAAATTAAGTGACACAAAGCTTTCGTAAATAATATTACCTGTCACGTGAGATTTATCTGTATTATAATTCAGACCAATATTGTTATTTGTAAACCGAATACCGGATAAATTAAAATCACCTATAAGAATAAAATTTTTAATTGGCGAATACTTATTAAATATATATTCAACCGTTTCAGTAAGAGCTAAGTATTTAATATCCTGATTAGTTGGTGGAATATAGCAAGCACCTAAAATAAGTTTATAATTATTTCCACCTTTTATCATCAAGAATACTTGTTCAATATTATCATTAGGAATATTAATAATATCCACAACGAAACGTTTATGTATAGCTATCAATACCCCATCTCCTCTCTTGCAAATACTTGTTTTTTCGCTCCGGTCTACTCGATATACATTGAAATTATCAAACCCAAGCTCGTTATTTGTTATATCAGTAGATAACCAAGTTTCTGTTAATACAAAATAATCTACTTTAAATAGCGGTATGTTATATCTTAATACATGTAATTTAGTACGCAGACCTCTTACATTTTGATAATACCCATTTATACATTTGATTTTAGATTTATGTGAATTAACATTATTTTTGAAATTAAACTTAAAACTATTACTAATATTACATTTTTTCATATTACTTTGCCCAGGCTGAATCAGTTTTTTGAAAAAGTGTGGGAACTCCATGAAGGCATTTAATAATCCAATTTCTTTCCCCGTTGTTCTCCTCTTTTGCTGAAGTTCAAGACGAAGAGACTTCATTTTTTCACGTTGGATAGTTGTCAGGTCCGAATTTATCCAAAGATTTTTATATTTATCTGTATTGCGTAATTTTGATTTTGATTTTAGAATAGTAATTACATCTGATGCTTCATTGAATGTAATTCGTAATGGCCGATTTTTAATTGATAAGTTACCTATTCTTTGGATTTTAGAAATAGATACACTTACTTTCATGTTAGATATTAAATCATTAACAACTGCTTCATCACTTATAATATCGTTTTCAGAAGTATTGAAAATTAAAATATTACGTGATCTATATAATCTATCATTAATTTCGTTTACTAGATCGATGTTATTTTGATCAGTAGTGTTCATTTTATCACGCAGATTTTAAAAAATCATTCTCTTTTTGCAAGTTATTAAATGAGGTTTTTAATTCTTGAAATGTATTCCTTAGATCAGTAAAGTTATTTTCGTAGATCTTTAATTTATTGTTTATATCTTTCATACCTCTGTCGTGCTTTTCATCAATAGATTTCTGTAACTTCATTACATCGTTTATTGAATAATCAATGCGTGCCATAGAAGAATTTGTTGTATTTTTGATCGGCGTATCACCTTGTTTCGGCATTTCTAAAAGAAAATTACTAAGGGCTTATCATTAGATAATATTTTATCGTACGGTAGAAACGAACTACAAATCACGTCCGAACGCTACGAAGGTTTATACTGTACTGTAAACAAAGTATTAACTATGTAATACTTTTTATGTTCATCCCTTATGCTATGGAAGGGTATCAACTTTGTTTTTTTAAATGGGAACACATATTTTGAATTTATTAAAATGTTTGAGATTTTAATTTAATAGCAAATGGCATTTGAACTTTAGTATAACTTTATTTGTTTATTAGATATAAACATTTAAAGTTTCAAATTTTTGAGTTAATATACACGTATAATACACAAGGGATTACAAATACAGGTAACTAATTGGTTTTTTATCATATCGATACTGGAAGGTACACAACATTATTATTCTCAATGGTAATATGGCACATTGTAGTGAGTTTATAAATACACTAACTGACAATACAGAAAGGATATCTATTGATAGTCATAATTAATAATAAACAAACTTTGAGTGTGACAGCTATGTCATAAAAAACAAAGTTGACACCCATACCAGGCATAAGGTATGAACTTAAAAAGTATTATATAGTTAATAATGTTTAAATTATTATTATTATGTAAGTTATTAAGTGGGTAATGATAAAAAAATCACTCTGTATAGATAAATTTTAAATAATCTGAATTATGGTAAAACAACAATTTACTTTAAAAACCCAGAGGAGCAAATGCTTTAAGTTTCGAGTATAACCTATGAAATGACAAACACAAATTTTTGTACTGAGAACTAATCAAAATAGTTTAAATGAATAATATATACAGTATATTAGTAATATTAAATATCAATGTATTAACGTTAAAACGCAAAACACTACTTGGTAAGGAAGCACAACATGGTAGTAGATCCTTCCGACTTCTCATCATTTATGAATCCATTCAATGTCAACATTTTTTAACAAAAATGTATAGTAGTTTTAATTTAAAAAAAACCCAGCACAGGGAGGTCGCGGCACAGTGGTGACGGGCATAGTTGGATCAAGTATAATGATATATGACAGTGATTAAAATCATTATCAAAAAAAAAACGCTACGATGCAAATTTTTAGATAGTGTTTAATTTTAAAAAATTGGTGGATTATTTCAAAAGCTACATGATCTGCTAGTTCATTATTAATATCCTAATTAAGATAAAGTATGTCAAATGAAAAAGGGATTATTAAAAAATATTATTTTTCATAAAAAAATAATGTTGATCCATACACTTTTCAATAAGTTATAGCATTATAAAGTTGAAAATGTAAAAAATAAAGTCGAGAATTTTCACACAAAAATAGCATTTAGTAGTTATTTTCACCACGAAAACAAGTCTAGAAGTCAAATTTTTTTTGTTTTGTCATAATAAAGTACATTAGCTTTAATTTAAGATATATATAAAAGTATCAGACTTTCCGGAATACTTTCAAAATTTAAGCTGAAAAAGTAAATTTTTTGTGAAAAAGTGGTCATTTTAAATCCCCCCCTGTGGGCAGGTAAAGGATAAGATATAAAACAAAATATACCAAATGATAGGTAAAGACATCATGCATCTATAAAAAAAAGAATTATATTAATCCATACATCTTTCAAAAAGTTATAGCATTATAAAGTTAAAAATATAAAAAATAATTTTTTTACAAAAATCGTATTTTTTTTATTAAGTTTGATGTCTATTTTCACCATGAAAATAAATTAAAGTCCGAAATTTTTTTTTTTCATAATAAAGTTTATTACATTAGCTTTAATTTAAGATATATATAAAAGTGTCAGACATTTCGGAACACTTTCAAAATTTATGATGAAAAAGTTCTACTTTCTGCATGATTTGAACCCCCCTTGTATATAGGGAAATGGTCCGATTTAAAAAAAAGTATGTCGAATGAAAGATGTATATAAATACTACTTCTCATGAAAAAATTGTAATGATCCATACATTTTTCAAAAAATTATAGCATATTTAAACTAAAAATGTAAAATACAAAATCGAAAATTTTCACACAAAAATAGCATTCGGTAGTCCCAACCCAACCGTGAAGATAAAATAATGTCCGAAATTTTTTTTTTTTTGCATAATAAAGTACATTACATTAGCTTTAATTTAAGATATTTATAAAAGTGTCAGTCCTTCCGGAACATTTTCAAAATTTAAGTTGAAAAAGTTGTCATTTTAAATCCCTCCTTGAGGGCAGGTTAAGGGTTAAATTTATAAAAAAAATATACCAAATGAAAGGTAATGATATCATGCATCTATATAAAAAAGAATTTTATTAATATGTTCATTTTAAAAAAAGTTATGGCAGTTTTAAGTAAAAAAAATTGAAAAAATTTCGAAAATAAGCGATTTTTAAATTGGTAAATTTTTTGGAGGTATCCCCCATTTACGGGGAACGAGGGAATTTTTTTCAATTTTTGAGAGTAATGTCTTCGACTAGATACGATTTGTAATCTTTTGACGTATTATTGAAAGAAATCGGTTCGGTGAGAGCTGAGAAAAAGTAGTAACAGAAACAAAAAAAAAAAACACATCTTAGTAAAACCAATACCTTCTCAGCTACGCATCGAAGCTAAAAAAAAATATTGTTTTATTATTAGTAATCATTTAATATGTGACTTGTTTAAATCAAATTTAATTGACACATTTAAATATGGTGTACATAATAAAAATTATTTATAGATTATCATGTGAAATTTTTATTTATTCATTCTCTCTTAAAATGTGGCATAAAAATACAAATTGTTTTTAAGTAAATACAAATAATAAATAATTTAATATTTAATCATATATATAATTTATCATAAAATTTTTATTTAAATTTTAATTTATGTTGAAAAAGTTTAACTTATGTGAGAAAAATACTAAATTAAATCCTTCTCTATGGACTGTCCAAGTGTCAGATTTAAAAAATAATTATATAAAATAATAGGGAAATATTTAAGGTTTCAATATAAAAAAAATTTATTTTGATTTGTTCATTTTTCAAAAAGATGTAGCTGTTTTAAGTATCAAAATATTAACATGTTAAATGATGATTTTTACATTTAATTATTTGTAGAATGTTATCATTTTAAATGTTCCCTGTGTGGTAGGTTAAGGAACAAATTTTCAAAAATATTTTACCAAACAATATGTAAATGCCTACTGTATCTATCAAAAAAAAAATTATTTTTATTCATTTAATTTTCAAAAGTTATGGAAGTTTATGTAAAAAAAAGTTTTGATAATGTAAAAATTATTGATTTTTAAAGTTATAATTTTCAGGAGAATTTCTCCATTTACGGAAAACGAGAGAATTGTTATCAATTTTTTAGTATAATGTATTTATCTAAATACAATTTTTGATATTTTGACGTACTGTCCATTAAAATCGATCCAGTAAGAAATAAGAATAATTGTCAACAGATACTAAATATAATTATTACTAATAAGAAATAGTAAATAAAATTTTTTTTTTATTTTTATGAAATTTCGAAATAGCCATCTCTTAAAGAAATCAATAGTTATTTTAAAACAAAATTCCAACAAAATGTTAACTATATTAACTATATTAATTATAGTTTGGCTAATATTTATGTATATTATAAGTAGAAAAAAAATTATTCACTAATCTTAAAAACTTATACCTTCTTTAAAAAATAAAGTTTAAGCTAAAATATATGATATTTTTAAAAATATTTATAATTAATACGGTTAATCATCAAATACTTTTCAATTTTTTTTTTTATCAAACAATTTATTTATATGGATTTAATTTGATTAATTTATAAAATTATTTTAATATTCTCAGTTCAAGTTTTTCAAATTTATAATTTATATCTCAAGGCGATCAAGTAGTTCTAACGAGAATTTTATTATATTTTGAATAGTAGTATTTCTTTTTTAACTTAATTTAATTTTTAAAGAGATGTTTTATTTGTGAAACGATTTTACATTTAAATGTTATGTGTCAGTTTTCGATCGCACTTGTATTAATGACTTTGAGTAAAGACGTTGACTAATAGATATAAGTTTTTTGGACACACTTTGAAAATATAAAAAATTATCTAAAACAGAACCTATTAATGGGACCTTTTGACTAGTAATGTTTTTTTTGGTCGAAATCGTTAGACGATGAGATTTGGTATTTGAATTTTCCATTATACACTAAAATTAAACTGAACGTAAATTTTAATAAATATTTGTGAGTTATAATTATCTAATGTAATTTAAAATATAAACTAAAAATTGAGTTACAAAGACATTTTATGAAAAAAAATTAAATTTTATGGCTTAGATTACAGTTTATATTAAAACTGTATTAGTTTTAAAATAATTATATTATGATATAATTATATTCATATCAAAAATTAATTTTATTAAAACTATATATAATTTTTCTTACCTAATATTACAATATTAAAAATGGTTTAAATAAAACTAATAACGTTCAAAATTTTATTATTGAAATTTTAACAGAGAAATTTTTTAAATTTACTAAAAAAAATTTTAATTTTAAACTTACTAGACACATCTATTAGAAATTTACTATATAATGACGTCAATTATGATATCCACGCTATCAATTTTTGGCTTAAAACTAAAAAATTTATATTCTACATTAAAGATTAAACTATTTTGATATACTAATCATTATATTTGACCAAAAATTGAATAACAGAGGCAGTTTTTTGTTTTTTGGGATATTTTTGGTCAAATTACTAAAATCACATTGAAC